TTGACCTGATGACAAAATGTTAAAGGTTGTAACAATGTATCCTGTAGGGAACATGGATGTCTGAATCAGACTTTATTACAATCCATCCAATATTTGTCAAGATGTCTCACTCTGGACCAAACAACATTGCTATTCCTGCTGTAGAGCCAAACTGCTTGCATGCTAAAAATTGAACTCCAGAGATCCAAGAACATTTCATAAATATTCTTCCCGATTGAGTCAAAAAGGATTGGAGCAAACAATACATGTGTCTTCAGATTCACTTGTCTCTAAAGTAGCTGGAAGTAAAATGTGATATTTTCTTTAGTTTTTATCTATAAAAACTCACAATTTGTCTGACCCCACTGCCATCAACATAAAGAATATTTTCCAGTTGTGTAAGAATACACAACATTTTGTTTTATTACTTTTGAAGTGCAGTCATGAAGATATTTAGGACCAGCTTTCCCAAACTGTTGCAGATAACTTTATGGATTGCTATATGGACACTGAGTCACTTTGCTGTGTATTTACAAAAGATTTCATTGCTGGTGCAGACTTATATATCCACACATACTCAGTGTATAAATATTTGCAGTGTAGCAGCTGCTGGCAGCAGTATTGACCTCTGGTGGAACATTGCACTTGATAGCTTCCTGGCTATGATACAACACCAAAGATTGCCGATGGTCTTTCACTGCAAAAACAGCCCTTGTAAAAATAAGCTAAATATTCTATATAATCGGTTTCTAATATAATCACATTTTATTCTAAGCCAGTTTTGCTTAGCTAGGATTCTTAAAACTAGAATAACAATCTAGCTACTGAAATATTGTAATGGTCCTTAAAACTAGAAGAAATACCAAAAATGTAAGCAAGTTAAAATAGGTATTTTGATCACTTCATTGAGCTGAAATTAAGATTAATAATTAGCAAAAAACACTTGTGACTTTGTGTGAAATGAAGGTACCAGAAGCATTCTTGTTTTTAGCATTTTTTATTAAAACGATGGAAAACTATGCTTCATTTATAACACTGGGACAAAACTACTTTCTATGACTAAGTTGTGCAAGTGGTTTTACTCTTAAAATAAGGAAAATAATCTTGTTCCTCTGCTGGGATGTTGATGCAAACCATTGTTGTATTAACCAATATCTTAAAACGAGATGGTTGACAAGATTTCTTTTTCTTTTTCTTTTTAGACACACATTTCCTAGAAACAAGGCTTTTTTACATTCTAGAGATTCCTTTTTTGCGGCGTTATCAGTTGGTACTGTGCTTATTGAGTAAGAAAAGAGGCAAATAAAAATGGTCTCAAAATCCCATTTAGCACATAAAAAAGCAGGAAGAAAGTGGTTACAATGATAAAGCAGGGATGAAGAAACGCAATATTTGCACTTCGGTCAAGACCAGGAAGCAACTCAAGGCTCTACCAAAGTTCACCATCACTTTAACGAAGAGTGAAACTGACTTCAGTGCAAGGCTGTTTCTGAGTTTGTCATGCTGACATCTATATTTCATTTAAAAGGTGATGATCCTCAAAATAACAAATCAGCACATCAAGCGCAGAGTAAATCCGATTGAGATCAGTTGATGTTTGTGTGCATACTCATGAGGTTCCAGGGCCAAAGAGTTTGTGTATGTGTCAGTACTGTGCCATGTCAAGTGTGAGCACCAGTGTGTTCTGCCAGCACAAGAGACCTCGAGATACCAGAGAGTTTACAGGAACCTCAGCAGCTCCGCTATCATGTTTCCCCCTCTGACCCACTGTGTACGTCCGATGATCTAAGTAGTTAAGCCGGGAAAGCTCCTCTCCCCACAGCCAGACATTCTGCAATTTGTCTCCCTCCTCCTGCTGGATAGCCAGCTGTTTCTACATCACTGCCCCGTCCCTCTGCCTCATTTCCCATCATGCAATGTACAGCTGCTCCCCTCTGCCTTCCTCTCCTCACCTTTGCATACATAATGATATTTCCACCAGAAGTCCTCACTCTTCCCCCCACTTTATATGAAAAGACAACCCCCCCCAACACACACACTCACACACACACACACACACACACACACACACACACACACACACACACACACACACTCTTCTTCCCTTCTTTTAACACACACACACACCCCACGAGCATTCCTATACAGTGAGCTCAGCCACACACACACATTTACACACTCCCAGCCATTTCCTCAAGTGAGCACAGCATGCTATCTCACAGCAAGAATGGCATATTGTTCTTGATATGTGTGTGAGACAGGAGAGTTTTAGGTTTCTGCCTTGCTAGAGATCTTTTGGCGGGAATTGAGTTCTTTAATTCTTACCTGCCGTGCCATGCAAATAGTTTTGGTTGTATTTGTTGAGGGTTTGTACCTCCAGTCGAGGTAAATATATATTATGTATATATTTGTGGTGCTCACAGCATTGAAAAATATTTATGGACAATCCACAGAACAGACTTTTATCAGTTTTTATTTAGACTTTTTATTCAATGGAATTAGATCCAATGCAAACTGCTCACAATGAGGTCTGTGGCTTATCAAGCGTCACAAGGACATTGTTTCTGGGAGAAAAGTTGCTGTTGTTGTTCAACGCTCCACAAAGGAAAAATGTATTGACTTTGGTTGTGTTGGGTTGGAGACAGAAATGTCAGAGACAGATATGTCAAATAAAACCAACTCAACACGAAACTATCTGCATGACTACATACTACTAACGGGAAGCAATAAAATGTTGTTCTTTCTGTAAATTGGGTGAATCAAGCGTTTTTATGATGGTGACTATGAAAACACTTTAAATGATGCCAAATCACTTCATGATAGCATATGTAACAGTTTGCAATTTGGTACTCGAAGCAATTAGATGCTTTAATTATTACAATATGTCACCCACCCTTTTAACATTACTATATTTAATTAGAGCTAATTAATGTAGTTAAGTTACTCTAATTAGTATTATTATTTTATGAATGGATCAAAAGACGTATAATGTAAAAAAAAAAAGTGTCATTTGTAAAGATGACCTCACAGAGAATTATTTTTCAGACTTCACAGTTCACGAAACAGTTTAGCATTTTTCAGCTTTGGTTTTATAAACCCACTGTACAGTGGCGGACTCTGGCTGTAGAAAGAAGAAAGAAATAAAAAGTGCGCAGAAAATTGTGATGCATTCATGTTGAACCAGTTCCAAACCCAATTGTTTTATTATGTTTTCTGCACTTCTGTAACAAAATACATGGGCAACTATTTAACCATTTATTTCACAAAGATACACATGATGTCAGTGAGAATGAGCTGCATATTGAGGAGCTCATTCAGGGTTAGGACCATAGAGGGCACTTTATTGTGTTTTGTCCACTGGAAGCGCACCCAGAAAGCACTTCCTCGTGTTTTATCTACCATAGGGCCATCCGAGAGGATTTTGATAGTTTTTTTTAACATGGGGGCAACTCCTCCTCGAGTCCACCAGTGGCCCTGTAAGCTACCTGCCCTAGCGACTAGCTGGTGAACATTCCCACGGAATTAACTTGTTTAAGGAACTTATATCTACTTTTGTTCACTTTCAAGTGATTGCGAATAAATGGTTCTGGTTGTTTTTCTGTATGGTCACATCCTCCATCCGTTTATTTAGTGGTTCCTGACAGCAGAGACAAGCTGACCAGATGCTGCGGTTCTGCTTCCAAACATGCTGCTGACGTTATCTAAACACCAAACTGATGCATCAGATGCACCACTGATGAAATAATGTTCTGGGTCACACACGGCGCAAAAATCAGCCTTGTCTATTTAATTCCACTGTGACAGCCAAGTTCAAAATAGAACCAGCTGTTCAGAGTTATTTGTTGCCAAAGAGCTGAGGATCTCCAACATGGCTGCCTGAGGGTGCGTTACGTCTCCTGAAAGCCTGCTTCAGGGTCAGACCAACATACAATGTGACATGTGGTTCGATACGACCTTGAGAAAACGTGCAAAGCTATCAGCGCTGCACTACTGACCTGAGCAGTGTTGTTTTGTGACGAATATCAACACGCCAAGTTCCATCTATCTGTCTGACAGGGCCACATGGAAAGTGACAGCTTGACCCACAACCTATGTGGGTCAGCAGAACCATGTGGCTGAGAGTTTGAGATAGAAGTATCTGCTCAGAGGAGCGATTAGCTGTTTCCATGTAGCTGATTGTGTTTGGAGAGAGGAAAAAGAGCCCCTGCCGCAGGTCTGCGCTGATCACACAGACAGGAAATAGACAGAGTCACATAGGCGCTGAAATGTGAGCTCAAGATGCTGATGATGTTTGACATTAAAACTTGATCGCAATCGTTTCAGGCTGCCTGATCACCCAATAGATTTTGGCCCGTCACTGAGTGTGTCAGTGCCTGATTTAAGACAAAGACTTCTCGAGTCTTATCACTGGAAGGGAGGCAGATACACAGAACAGAACACCCCGGTGCCTCTCGCTCCTGCAACAACCAGCTCCTTTATCCACTACATTGAAGTCAGCGCACCGGCGGCCTTTGAAGTGCACTCAGCCAAATCGTGCCGATTGGTTTTGTTTTGTCTGAAGTCGTGTCAAAAAAGCCCACATGTTGGAGAAAAGTCCAAAACCTGAAGAGAGGGAGATGGTCCAACAATGACTCAACGAGCAACGGACATCTGGATTTCTTTTTTTGTTCAAACCAGAGGAACATGATGCCCCGAGTCTTTTCTGTGATCCAAACACAACATATTGGTCTATGAATGACTCCACAAGATCACAAGAGCAAATTATGAAAAAAGAATTGTGGCAAGAAATAATAATCAATCCATACAAGTGATCAATACCATAGTGATAAATGCACCAGGTGCTGCAATTGCTGGCGTTCAAAATTAATTTTCCAGCTTGAACTCTGTTTTGGAAGTAAGAAACTCCAGCAGCAGCCCTCCTGCTGGTCGCCAGTGAAGGTCAAAGATGACTTCATGCTCCTTTAGAAGCAATAAAGGGTGCTAGTGTGTCGTCGCTAACTATATGATTCTGTGTGTTTCAGAGTATTGAGCGAGAGGAGCCAATAGAGGTGGACCCCGCCCCAACACACGCTGGATTGGAGAATGGACACGCTACAGGTAAGCACGTCATGACTGTTTTACAACCAGCGTCAAGGTTGTTTGATGTCAATAAAAAAGGAGTTTTCAAAGGGGGGCTTCACCGACTTGGAGATCAGTTACTCAGCTTGTGAAAACAGTTGTGTAATTTCTTCTGTGGCTCCGGTGGAGCTTTATAAAGTTTAAAAAATAACCCTGATGATGTCATCTGGGATTATGGTTAGGTTAGGTTAGCTCAGACCCAGAGACTACAAATCTTTAACAGCGCCTCAAGACAGAGTCTGTCTTACAAACTTACAGCCCCCTCCACTCAAAAATGTGTTTATGTTCTTGTTCCTACAGTGTGCTGTTTGAATGATGAATGTGCAGTGAATGTGAGTCTGACACTAGAAGGATGTTTTCACATTCATCTGCTGAAAGTGAAAAGTTTCTATGTGCGCACTGAAAATCTGATTTTAAGATAATAAGTGGAGCTGAGATAGTTAGAGCTGAGTTTATTGATTTTTAGCAGCACAGGATATCAAAACAAGCTTAAAACACAATATTGACATAATATTAAAGTTGATATGGCAAACAGGTTAGCAAACAGTTGCTTATTTACACATGCAGCAGCTAAGGAGCAACATTAGAATTAAATTTGAATTACTAGTTTCTGGTTGCCTGATGAAAGAAAATCCAATATTAAGCTCATTTTTGGCCTCCAACTCCTCAGGGATACATCTAGATTATTCATCAATATGATCATTTAAAATCTTTTAACCAACCAGAACATTCAGCGCTGGTACACGGAAAGATCTCTCCATCCAGTGACTTTCTGCATGAGCACACGGCTCCTGTCGCCATGAGGATGCCGCACCTCCCCATCACCGCTACAACCAAGACGGCAGAAGTTAAGGGCCCCGACTCTCCCAGCAGCCCTGTTGGTTCTCGGTCCTCTCTGGTCAATGAGGTCTCACCTACCGGCCAATCAGCTGCCAGCACCAAAGAGACCCAACCAACAGAGGAGCCTCCAATTCAACCAGGTGGCTGATGGTTTCCACTGTGTGAGCATGAATGCAGCACAAGGTACGGTTGGTTTTGTAAAATCTTAACCTCTTAATTTACAATTTCCCTTTTCTTTGTTGCTGTTAGTATCTTCTACATGGACCCCTACACCTATCAGAGCTCTGGGATCTCCCCGCCTTCAAGGTGAGCCATGTTTTCACACACACACACACACACACACACACACACACACACACACACACACACACACACGCTATCCTGTCAGAGACTACATCATGGACATGATTTAGAGGAACTGTTTGTCTCTTGCAGAGAAGGCAAATTCAGCCCCCACTAAGTCTGTGACCTATTCGGGGCTGCTGCAGCAGGACAGGTGAGTGAAAGGTGACCCATGAGGGACATCTTAAGGATAAGTAAAACATCTTAAGGATAGGTAAAATATTGCATTGTCTGACCCGTCTGTGCTCCCGTCCTCCAGAGATGGCGATGTCAGCAGCGACAGATCCTTCGGGCAGGTGGGAGAAAGGAGGAGGGAGCTGGTGAGGTCACAGACTCTGCCACGTAACATCGGCGCTCAGGCTCGTCGCTCTATCTTTGAAAGACTGGACTCTGAAGCCAGCAACAGGTAAATGCAATGGGTGTTCGGGTGATGTGGGAATTATGGTAGATACAAGTGTCCTGAACACTAAAACTCTCTCATGTGTCCTTGCCCCATGTCTATGTACAGTCGCCCCAAGCCAGTGGACTCTAAACCAAAACTCAAGCGGTCCCAGAGTTTTGGGGTGTCCAGTGCCAGCAGCATCAAGCAGATCCTTCTTGAGTGGTGCCGCTCCAAGACCATAGGCTACCAGGTAAACTTGCAGAGAACAATCCCACTCTATGAATGTTATCATTTATTGCATCACATACATTTTAAGGTTTATACTTACATGTTTATGTTGTTTGGGGACATATTCTCTAAGATTTGGTTGGTTTGGTAAGTTGCTATCAGGCGGCACACAAGTTTAATTTTCTTTAAGTACTATGCCTGTTTTAGCCCACAAACTACAAATTGCACAAATATTTCATTGCTGATGACCATTTCCTAAAACAGATCATACTTGATTACATTTTTGACATTGGTTCATTTCACTATAGCATGAAAATGAACTGACAAAGACTTGCTTGAGATAGGTAATCCAGTGTGTCTGGTTTTATTTTTGTCAAAGTGATGTTATTGTTGCACAGTAATGTAGTGGAAACTGACGCCGGAAAATCTGAGGGTTTAAAGTCTGCTGCAGATCTACAGCAGCAATGTTAATGCAAGAAGCCAATAAATTCACATTATCCTTTTCAAGATGTTTTCCAGCTGGCAGTCTTTTGGGTCGGACTGTGAACGTAATGTTGTTCCTCAGCCTGAAGTCTCAGATATCAGAGCTTCCTACCAGCACATGAACACACCACATCAGCCGACTTTAGATATCCACCCAGGCTTTCAACTGCAATATTATGCTATAATAATGTAAGGTTTAAAGACAAGTATATATTTACAGTGATGGATTGCCTGTGTTGACCAACACTTGGCAAGCTGATCTTCATATCATACAGAAAGTCTTTTGTAGGTGATTTATTTCATTTTGATTGATAGGCTGTAGCTGGGCACTGTTTAGCCTAGCTTAGCATGAAGTGATGCAGGTGTTAGCAGCTAACCTGGCTCTCTTCAAAGTTAAAAATATCAATGCTTATAAATCTAATTAATTAAAATCTATTTAATTTAATCCATGCAGTGGAAATATGAAATTGCACCATTTGCCTGGAAACCTCATTGTGGTACCTGGTGGTTGTTTGCTGAGACATAGTTTACCGTGTAACTGTACAGATCAAAGAAAAATGTAAATTAAAGCTGCGGTAGATCATTTTTATAAAAAATATTTTTTGTCATATTTGCTGAAACTTACACTATACCCGTGACAGTAGTACATGAGACAGATAATCTGTAAAAAATGAACAAATAAATAAAAAGAGGTTCCTCTGGCTCCTCCTAGTGCTCCTAATCGCATTTACATAAACCCACCTGGCCTGAACGAAAACAACCAATCCAAAGCGAGAAAGATTGTTGATTTCAGAGTCTTATTCCAAGAGCTCTAAATACAGACACTTTGGGACCCTGGGAATGAGACTCAACAATCAATTATTATCAAGCCCCCAACCTAAAGCGTCTTTGTATCTTTCTCTGCTCTGATTAGTTGTTTTCGTCCAGGCTTAGCTCTTAGAACTAGAGCACTAGAAAAAACCAAGGGGCTGATTTTTTTCACAGATTATCTGTCTTATGTAATACTGTCAGGACACGGAAAATTTCAGCAAATATTAAGTTATAATATAAGTTTTTATAAAAGTACTACTGCAGCTATAACAAGCTTTAGAGGTGTTGGTAAGCAAATTTAACTTTGGAAAACAGCCAGGCTAGCTGTTACCCCTGCCTTATGCTAAGCTATAGGCTGATTGCCTCTTGGCTCCAGGTCCTTACTCAGTGGACAGACATGAGATCATTCTCATCTACAGTGTAACAGGGACAGGGCACATTTATATAACTAACATTACTGTGTGAGTTAGCCAAGGTGAGAATAACATTCAGAAAGGTTTCAAACAGCCAGCAGTAATGAAATGTTTACACAATGTGTCGCAAATGGGCTCAATATGCAAAATCTCCAGCATGGTCCTTCTGTATGAGATATCTGTCTTTATATAGCTTTAACCTGTCAGCACACAGTGCAGTGCTAATGTGTTAATCATCTACCTCTCAACCATAGAGGTGTAAGAAAGTGAGCGTCCTTGTGTATATAGGTGTGCGTGAATGTGTAAGTGTGTGTTCTGGTGGTTGAGGGTGCAGGGTCCAGGTAGTTTGAGTTATGGTTGAGAACACCGACACATTGCTGCACTCTGGTACCCTTTTCCTCACAACGGCTTGTGCCAGCTGCTCCATGTGGCTTTGGTTATAGTCAAGCCAGGCAAAGCCAAGACTCTTATTAACTGGGAGCAAACATACAAACACACACACGCACACACACACAGAAACACACAAGAGAGAGAGAGAGGGATGTTCATCCGATGACTTGACATGTTGCATTTCATTCAAAGCTAACTCCAGACTAATAAAGGACAGCCTTGAAATGACATGATTTTAAAAGCACGTAACAGACCAAAGGCAGGAGAGAAGAGGAGAGAGGAGGAGGAAAGTCTGTTTTATCCATCATAATTACGGGCTAGACAGTGAACAGGGAGATGGCTTTATGAAGCTACAACAAGCTGCCAGTCAGTTTTACAAGTCATGTTCTTTTACCTCCTTCAGTCTTCCAGCTTTTTGTGCTTCCTTCCATGCGCACAAAGGCCTGGAGTGACACAGAGACTCACTCCCTGAAACACACTTGCCACATCATCACCGCCAAATCTTCTTCTTCTCTGTTTCTCTGTAGAACATTGAGATCCAGAACTTCTCGTCCAGCTGGAGTGACGGGATGGCTTTCTGCGCTCTGGTCCACTCCTTCTTCCCCACTGAGTTTGACTACAATTCTCTTTCCCCTGCCAATCGCAAACACAACTTCGAGCTGGCCTTTGGGACTGCAGAGTGAGTGGTGGCTAAATTTGAATGTAAAGACGAGGCAGCTGTTTAGAAGTGTCCATTTGTCCCTGATATGATTAATGTGACGCAGTTTAATTAATTACATATTTATTGTAGAACCGATCATTCTTCTTAAAGGGTGCATTAAGAGCTAACATTAGAACATCATGAGACGTTTGGTTCATATTTGATACAGTTTCAGAGGCTTTTCCCAAACTCACTAGAATAAAAGTATGTGTGTCAACATATTTTTAACATTAAAGGTCCAGTGTGTAACATTTAGGATAATCTAATGGCAGGAATTGAACAAAATATGCATAACTGGTTTTCATTAATGTATAATCACCTGAAAATAACAATCACTGAGGGTTTTTTTTTTTTTACCTTAGAATGAACTGTTTTATCTACAGATGCTGCAGTTTGCCTTCCATGTTGAAACGCTATGTTTCTACAGTAGCCCAGAACTGACAAACCAAACACTGGCTCTAGATAGGGCCTTTCATGTTTTTCGAGACTTTCATGGCCATCATAGTTTTTCCTACATACTTCACAGCCTGGTCTTTAAATACAGACATCAGCAGTGTTCAGTTAGTTGCAATCTGCACCTTCACCACTAGATGACACTAAATCCTACAAACTGGTTCAGAGCTAGAGCTGGGACTAATTGAACTAGCTAAATAAAGACAGCTAACTTAACGTTGCTCAAAGTGAAATACACATATTAACAACTCCTAAGATCAGTAATAAACACATATATCTATATTTGTTTGCACACTAACCACAATATGATTAGCCAGAACCAGCCCATCTATGCCCAGCCGATTCTGGGTGAGGATGTAGATAGTTACAGGTTTTTTTTTTTTATTACAGCTATATATGTGTAAAGCTGTAGGCTACAGGCAACAGCATGTATCAGGCCTATTTGATGGTGCAATTTAAAGTACAGATTTAGTGTGCCTGTCTCTGAAAATCTAATGCCCCTTCCCCCCTGCCTAATAATCCTTCTGCCAGGTCTGGTACCATGGTGCCTGTGCCAGAGTCCTATACTTAAAGTCTGTGCTTACCAGTCTGTCTGGCCACCCATGTTGTAGTCAGAGATGCAGCATGAAAGTCCCGAGCCAATGAATAAACTAAAATGTTGAACTATTCCTTTAAAGCCATGGTACAAACTGTTCATGTGACTGAAGTCTCTTTACGCAACAGCAGAAAGACTTACTTGTTGGTGGAGAGTCCACTGTGGTTTCTGAGTTTTGCCTTAAAGTATTTACTGGCCTTTACTGCATCAACGATGCAAGTCTGTGCACTTTATTGTGGCTGAAGGTCTCTTCATTTGTGTTCTTTGTTGCTTTTGTTTTATAGGCCTCTGCAAAGTTCGGATTTTAAATGCAAGAGCGTAACACACACATTTTATATGGCGATGTTCCATACTGTCTGTTTCACTAGGCTTTTTTCTTTTATATGTTTGGTGAAAGTTTTGCCCAACTACACAGCTTCACGCAGCATGGCTTATTGTTTTCACAGATATTGTACATACAGACTGCATACTTTAGATATAGATCAGACATTATACAGAGCATGGACTTACAGTATGTTGGGGGCTTAAAGACTGACACTCCATTTAAGAATGTGTTGTTCTCCGGCTGATAACACCGCTGTAGAATTAAGCTGATTTGGCTGAAAAACAATATTCACTTCACAGAATCAATCCTTCATATATGATGGCAGCTTTACATTTGACCTCTTAAAGAGATCACAGCAGAGACTTATAGCGCAGTAAATGTATATGAATTATTACATGCATGGTGTTGTTCTTTAACCCCTCAAAACATGTTTGTTGGAATGTAAAGGAAACGTCAGTGTTTTCATCAGAACTATCCAAGACACATGTTAGATGCAGATTACGGCTTTAGAAAGGTTAGACTGATGAATCAGATTGATACTGACTGTAAGCTTTTCCTTGATACAGTTCAGTCATTGTGTTTCACCCCTTATATCAACAGATTGAATCAAATAGTCGACTACAATAGGACTTTTAGGACTTGGCAGACTTGACTCCAGACTTGAGTGCAAAGACTGACAACAATGACATTCTGATTTTTTCAAAATGCCAGATGCTGCTTCGGTTGAGTTGTAGTTGAAATATATTCTTTCAGCATGAAGCCTCCCCTCTGACCCATGTTTCTCTGTCTGTGTCTCCAGAGTGAAGGCAGGCTGCGACCGGCTGATCGAGGTGGAGGACATGATGATCATGGGTCGTAAACCGGACCCCATGTGCGTCTTCACCTACGTCCAGTCCCTCTACAACCACCTGCGCAAGTTTGAGTGAAGCTCAAAAGCAGAGGGTCCGATTTGATGCACAGCCCTCCTTTAAGACTCATCCTACTTCAACCTCTTCTTCTTTCTCTGTACCCAACTTGGAGCTGAGGGGAGATCCAGAGCTGGCAGGGGAGCGCTTTGAAAAGACTACACTGCCCCCTGGTGGTGGTTTAGTGAGCATTGCTCCACAGGCTGCAGGAAGAGTGCTCACAGATGCACAGTGGACTCATAGGGAGGGTGCTGCGATGTTATCTGTAATGAAGAAGATGAATCTACACACAAATGTCAGGGTTGGTCTGTCAGCAGTATTTTCTGTGTGTGTATGTGTGTGTGTGTAGTTGAGTGCAACTATTGCTGTGTTGTATAAATTGTTATTATCATCACGTGTGTTTGAAAGTGAGTATCCACATTAATCTTTGATATTGCACCAATGTAGAAGATGTATGCTTTACAAATGTCACTGAATAACTGAACTGTAGGCGAGTGTTTGTGAGGAAGCAGAGCACACTGTGGGGCAGAATATCTAACAAAATATTTGTGAAATGGAGCCGATTGCTGATTGATATTTACGTCCGCACATGCTGTGATATTGTGCTGTTGAGATGATGTTGAGATATGGAAAATGAAATCAATAAATTGTACTGTTTGACACCTAAATGTGGGCACTATGTTCTTTACCAAAGAGACATTTTTGGGCATTTGCATTGTAACAGAAAAGCAAAGATAGAACAAAAAAACATTTAAAACAATTACTTCCACTGGGAACATGCCACCACACTACATATTTTTTTCAAATCAAGTCAACAAGTTAGATGAACACAACTGCTTTGAAATTTATTTTAAAAGACCTAATTCATTTGTGTGTTACCAATTTAAATAATTTATTTAAGTTGGTCTAACAATTCTCTTTTTTCAGTGCACTGGGACTATTACCATTTTTTTTAGAAAGAAGCACATGAGAGAAGAAAGAAAGGAAGAAAGAAAAGTTTCAACATAATGTCAACTGTGGCCAAAAGGGCTGATTCAGCGGACTGATATTTGGCTAATATTAGTCTCTGTTAAATTACATCTGTTAGTAATTCTTTCCTTTTACAGGAAAAAATTGTTTGCAGAGATTATGATTTTGGACGTTAACTCGATTGCTTTCTGTCTCCACTGCACATGTTTCATCTGTTGCTTTTGGATTACAGATATTACTTTTTGATCCAACAGTGCTTAAAATAATGTAACAGAGTTTCTAATCTTTTTTGCTGTTAATTATAGCAGCCTAACTTATACAAATATGATAAATTCTGTGCATGTGATTATTCATATCCATAGCTAAATCAAGAATCTAGAAATTAATAATTTGCTTTTGTTTTATTTTCCATTAGCAGCAAACTGTCTGACCTTTCTTTTTTAAAAGAAAAAAATGAAACATGAACATAAAACATCTCCTTCAATCTCTATCCTTATTATGGATTTTCTGGTTTATTAGGTAACTTTACTGTAACCTACAGCAGTGTTTTTCAAAGTGGGGGCTTCCAGGAGGCATCAGGGGGGGCTCAGAAGATTTAAGGTAGGATGAAGGATTTAAATAAAAAAAAAAATGGAATTATTAATCCTCTGAATTACCTCCCAGTCAGAACATTGTTCATCATATAAACTGTCAGTGTTGACCTGCTAACGGTCCGCGTCTGCCACTAAGCTGTTGCTCCTGAACTTCAGCACGCTAGCAAGTGCTAACTCGCAAAAATGTAAGTTTAATCTAATGTAATGATTAAAGATTTAAATACAGATTTGATAATTATTGCATTAATACAAATAAGGAAATACATTCAGAAGTTGTTTTGTTTCTCGTTTTTTTTTCTATTTTATTTTTCCACAGTATTGTCAGTAGGTTTTAAAGACATCTTGCAAAAGGGGGGATAGTGCTATCTGGGGGGCCCTGGCATGGAAAGGTTTGGAAACCCCTAACCTACAGTATCCATTCCCACAAGTTTGAATCAGAAGACATCAACATTTTTGAGCTAAAATAACTTATCACTTTAAAGTGCTGCAACACAAGCCAATCCATGACGTCACTGTCCGTGTTTCTTTAACCCTTCACAGCTGATAGAAAACAGTTGCTGCACATGGAGTCACTGATTGCTGCAGATCAGAGACTCTATTATGTTCACTATAGCAGCCAGTGGACTCTGTCACTGAGTGATTTAGTGACCCTGGGTGCTGCAGCACAGATATATCATATAAACACATCATCTCTGAGCACTCATGAACAACAGGCTTTAAACAAAGGGCTCAATGTGAGACACAGAATATGCACAGGTACAGAGAGAAAGAGTTTTTTTATACTTTGATTTACAATCTAACACTCCTCATGGATAATCCCTGCCTGTACTTCTTTTAATAAAGTCTTCTTCAACAATTTGTTTCAAATATAACCTGCAGCCATGCATCTAATTTGGTCTCAGTGTTAAACTTTTTATTCAAGCAAATGAGGAATGGTGTCTCTAGTTTTCGCAGTGGAGGAATACAGCAGATCACTCCACCATGCAAAGGTTTTTATAGGAATCAAGTGTCTTTATTTCACACCATTGAGTTGTTATGCAAATAAAATGGATTATTAAGTTACAACTTATCAAATCTGACCTACTTGGAAACTTGTTTGGAATGCTTAGATGAGCAGTCAGAATCAGGTTTATCGCCAATAGGTTTTCACATACACACACAGGAATTTTCCTTTGGTATATTGGCGCATAACAATAAACAGAGAATGAGAAAAATATAAATAAAGATAAAAGCAATAACTACAAGCTATAATTGACAATAACGTATTAAATATATTATTAAGACAATTATAAGATAATAATATGACCGTTATTTAAATGAATTATTGTCCAGGGGATGAGCGAAGTTCGCAGTATTAAGTTTAAAGAATATTTGCAAATATGTTTTTCAAATATTGGATCTTTATATATTTATATTCAATCTGTGTCCTTTTGTATTGACCCGTGTGTCCCATTGGAGTCTAATACAACCTCTGTGTTTGGTCGATGTTATAATGAATATAAAATCATTTCCAAAGTATTTCGCAACTTACACTCCGCACCATCGATCTGTGGACACAATAAAGCAATAACAGTAATCGGTTAATTCATTGTCTATGTATATGTTATGTATATATAATCCCAAAACTCTTCAAATACAGGCAGAGCAGCTGAAGATCACACAATGCACTGCAGCATGAAAACAAGTGTGGGGATTAGAGGCAGAGGTGAATAACACCTGGATTTGTAGGGTGCTGGGCGGTGGGTGATCTGATCTGGGTATAAGAAGCTCCTCCTCAGCTGTCAGCAGCAGTGGAGGCCGGGCAGTGTGTGTGTGTGTGTGTGTGTGTATGTGCAGTGCGTGTGTGTGTGTGTCTCTGTGTGGAGTTATGGCTCTGTTCATGGACTCAGACTTCTCTTTACTCAAGCAGAACCCGCAGAAAGACATGGTGGATTTTAAAGCTTTATTTGGAGAACAGGATCACTGTAAAGGTGAGTTCACTATCATTTAAATCATCCGTCCTTTCGGTTTGTCTCCTGTAGTCAATTTCACTCAACAAACTCAAGAAAGCACACCAAAGGGAAATTAGACAGGCGAGCCAAGTACCATCAAAAGAGCAAGTAAATTCGATCAATGTGACATTTTTAATGCAAAAAGAGGACAATCACCGACAGAATGATTTAACATTATTATTATTTAATTGTATTATCTAAATAAAACATTTAAACAATTAGAAACAAATGTGCCTGTGTTATGAGCAAATTATAAACCTGGAACAAAACCTCGTAAATATATGGGGCTACAGTAAAATGTATTATACGAAAATATATTAAATGAATCCAAATTTGTAAAATAAAATAATCTTTTCCTACAGTGTAGTTTTGGTGAACAGTCCCAGCGTGTGATTTTATTTGAATACCCTACAAAAACAATTGTATCTAATAATAATAATAATAATATTAATCATTTAATAATTGTCTTCCTCTTTTCTCTGCCTCCTTTTTATTCATTTTATTTACATGTCTTTTTAATCATTCTTTCACTTCCCTTTGTGATTACAAGATGCTCGGGCTGAGGGCGCGCTGTCCTCCCCGGAGCCGGACAGAGCCGCCGGACTGATGGAGGGCCAGAGGAAGAGGAAGAGGACCATCTTCAGCCGAGCCCAGCTGTCAGAGCTGGAGCAGGCCTTCGCTGTGACCCCCTACCCGGACATCACCCTGAGGGAGAGGCTGGCCGCGCACACACACCTGCCCGAGAGCAAGATACAGGTGAGTGTGCTGCTCTGGGGTCTCCCTTCAGCCTAAAAAACCCACTGACCTGTATTTAGAGAATATCTGATGACAATGTTGCCATTTATTAGATGTGTTAAAGTAAAAGTAAAACTGAAAAAATATTGTATTGCGATATCTTTTTTTGTGATATTGTATCAATTTTTATGGTTAGACCCCCAACTGTTAGATAGTATCCACTGTGACAAATATAAATACAGATTCCACAGTTCTGGTTTGCATAAAAAAGAAAAAAACAACCTTTTTTAAACGTTTGTGCATATGGTGGTGTGCTCTTTATTCTATGATACTTTTATATTAGCTTGCATTAAATCACCTAGTTTACAGAATAGAAATATATCACAATATATTGAATCGTAACCCCTGTGTCATGATACACATCGTATCACCAGATTATTCCCTATACACAGCCCTAGTGTAGAATTTAGTGTTGTCTAGTGGTGAAGCTGCAGACTGCAAACATTTGAATACAGCTCAGCCTTTCAGTCGTGTAGGAGAAACTATGGTGGCTGTGAAGCTTGCGAGAAACATCAAAGGCCCTATCTACAGCCAGTGTGTGGTTTGTCTGTCCTGGGCTACTGTAGAAAAACAGCGGTTCAACATGGTGGGCTCTGTAGAACAGGACTGTACCGGAGTATGACATACCATCTCTGCGCAATTTATGTCAGACTAAATTGTGTGACATGACTTGTTAACAGCAAAAACAGAATTATGATAACACGACAAAGTCCACCAAAAGTGTGATTACTTTACAAGTCTTACCATTTTCAACAGGTGTGGTTTCAAAACAGAAGAGCCAGAAGTATCAAGACTGGGAGACTCCCCAAGTCCAACAAGTCAGTCCTGGGAGGTAGAGGGGTTGTTGATCCCTCCACTGGGCCTGTGACCTCTGCTTTCCTCGCCTCAACCACCCTGGCAGACATATTCAGGCCGGAGCAGAACCACTCCTGTGAGGACGTCCCGCAAATGTATTCTGACTGGATCCAAATCTACAGCAACCCCGTATCATCGCCACCATCTTCCTCGTCAATCCACCAACAGCCCGCGCTGGGCTCCTCAAAACCTCCAGAGTCTCGTCTCTGGGAGGAGGAGCAGCACCACCAGAGGCAGCACCTGGGACCAGCGCTCCCGGGCTTCCTCCCCAGTTCTTTCCCTCAGCCCGTCAGCAGGCAGCCTCACCACCCAGCCTCCTCCCGCTCCTACCAGGCCTTCAGGAACTTCAAACCCCAGACCGTGGCTCCACCCGGGGCTCATCAAGCTGTGTACGGCAGCAGCGCTGCAGGAGGAGGTCACACCTCTGTAGACCAGGTAGTCCCTTCCCATCCTCAGCCGGTGTACTGGGAGGTAACTCAGGGCCAAGGACACCACCACCATCACCACCACCCACACCATCACCACCACCCTCAAATGGGACCACAGACCTCCATGGGCTACATCTCAGACCTGATCTACAACGCTGCTATTGTCACCAACTTTCTGGAGTTCTGATTAATCTGGATGTGGAGCATGACCAGTGGAATATATGAATCCTGGGGCTTCTATTCCTGTCAGTATTTCCCTTTACAACACCTCTTGAGTTCACACTGTTCTGTGTGTTACTACTGCCGATCGGTCCTCAAACCTCTATAGAGTTGTTTTCAAGTTGTGGTTGGTTTGTCCTTGTCTTGTGTTTTTAGTATGTTCCAGTCATGTTTTAAATATGTTAGGATCCATTACATCCCAGTTGAAATTGCTATAATTTACAGTTGCATTGGCTCAGTTTTTACAGTTTCAGTGTGCAAAACATTCAATGCAAATCACATGCCCATCCCTCAGAATACAGACACCTCAGCTACGTTAGCACAAGTTTCAGTGCCCAACATATCAGAGGTGTGGACTCGAGTCAAGACTAGGACTAAAGCTGGACTTGAGGCTCAAATTTGATTGATTTGCAACTTCACTTGGACTTGAGACTTTTCACTTGAAAATATTTGATACTGTCCCCCAAGCCCAAAGACCCAAAAGCACAAAAAGTATGTGTGTCACAAATCAATTCCCAGCGAGTTGACACTTAATTCCACAGATCCACTTTGTTTGAACTAATCCGACGGCATCCAATCCATGAAGAACTAACGTTACTTTACTGAGCACCAGCTGGAAAAAATGATACCAAAGATACTTTTGTTTTGCTCATTCTGTTGTTAAAATGGCATTACATTTGAGAGCAAATTGTGAATTGTTTAGGACTCAAAACTCAAAGTTTAGGACTTTAGACTTGCAGACATGTGACTTGCAAAAACCTGATTGATCTGGTTGGTCCCACCCCGGAAATTAAGTGATCAGTACGTCAAACATCAAATGTATAGCAGTGGTTGAAAGACAAAACGAGGAAAATGAAATGCAATTTCTTTCCATTTTATTACTGTCAAATGTTGTAATGTATTATGGTATGTATTATTAAATGTATTATGTTGGTGATGTAAATGGCCGTTTAATCATTTCCAACATTACTTTAGCTGACTGTATTTTATATGATCAGTCTTATGTAAATATCTAAGGTTTGGGGTCGATACAGACAGAAAGAAGCACAATCACCATTTTATCTTGTATGTAGGATTTACTGTAGTTTCAAATCAGACTTTAGACTACACTATCAACTGTATATTTACAGGAATACAACATATCCAATAAACACTATGAAAGCTTTCAAACGTCAATCTTACTCTGTATTATTTCAAACACTGACTGACTTTTGCTGGAATTGCACATTTTCTATGTCATTGTTATTTGTATAAACTTGAGGAAATGAGCACAGCTGGTGGTGTTTTGAGGAGAACGTATGGACATATATGTGTCAGTGTTGAAATGGCCTGATAAACATACTGTGTGATGTATTGCCTAATTTGATTTGTGTACCGTGTGAGATTCAGAGGCCAAATGAAGAACAGCATTTTGCATTCAGAGATTAGAAAACTGAAACTGAGCCAATGCACCAGTCAACTGTGTAAAGTGAAAGATATATAAGCTTAGGACATGTTCCAGTATGTTTCTAGTGTCATTTTGTTGTTTTCCATTTAAATAAAGGACTAATTGGAGAATCCATAGCAGCTCGTAAACATTTCTTTGGTGGTCTCACTGATGTACTTGTCATGGATTCTCCTCACAGATGCCAGCTCCTGTTTTCCTGCTCTAAGCTGAACTGTGGCATGTTTAATGCTGCGACCCCGCGAGTATTATCTTTCAAAACATTCTGATTAAAATGATTCTTTGTGGAAAGATACCATGACAGCAATAATTATTTTATTTTTTCATATCTCTCTGGGCTGTAAGTATCAGGAGGGTTAGATGGACAGAGGGAAGGAAGAAAAATGAAAAATAAGAACTAAATTAAAGCCAGAGCTCAGGGTCTATCAGCTTACAGGCTCTGTAATTCTGCCTGGATTTAAGTTTCGAAATATTACATGAGAGGTATAATACAGAGGCAAATATGACAGACAGTAGTGCACACTGTTCGTCCAGTGCTGGACAGAGATCTCTGCATATCATAATCATCTTTAATACCAAATAATCTTTCAATAAACCTTTAATCCGGGTGTCAAATCTCAGATCTTAGGAAGATACTTTTTTTTTGTATTCCAGATGTAGTTACATCTTTTAATCTTTCCACTGATATGACAGGACTTAATAAGAAGAGGATAGGATAGTTTACAAAAAAATATGAATTCATAACTGGAGAAAGGATCAGAGAAAACAGATCGCCTGTGTCATACTGGAACTGTTTTGAAATAAGATACATGGTGTTATTGTTCTGAGGATCACAGCTACTGTACCTCTGGGGTCCCATAATCGCTTGTTTTTATGTGCTGCTTGGCTCTATAATTCACTCCAGATCAGATGCAGCGAACACAGATCAGAAGTTATTGGCACATCTGTCAGGGGGAGATGGATGATAAAATAACTGAAGAACAGATCAGTAAACACTGTTAGTAACTGATGCCACAGCTGGCGGGTTAAGATTCAAAACAACTTTAACTGCAGAGCTAAATAAACAACTTGACAAAATAGCTTAAGTCAAGCTCCACTTACTAGCTTTTTCCTGGGCTTTCAACCTTATTTCATGGTCTTCATCTACTTTTTGTCAAGCTACTCTTCCTCAGGGTCAAGAATAAACGTTCATGCTCTATTTTAAAGAAGTATAAAGTTACTAGCTATCAGTAGACAGTATTGATGAAAAACACAAAACCGTGTCAAATCATAGGTGCTCATTCTATTTTTCTTACAGTGACAAAGAATAGATTCTACTAATACGTATTGCGTGCGTATCCAAAGCCTGGTATATCTTACTCCTCTGTACCATAGATCTCCATTGATGTCAATAAGACTACAGCTACACTAGCTGCTCTGTGAGGTTGTTCTCAGGCACAGAAATGCTTTGAATTAAATGCTAATGTCAGCGTGCTAACATGCTCACGATGGCAATGTTAATCAACACTTTATCATGTAAAACAGTTCAACCTGAACTTCATAATACAACCCTGCATTGACGTTTGGCGTACTGATCACTTACTTTCCGCGGTGGGACCAACCAGGTCAACCGGGTTTTTGCAAGTCACAAGTCTCTGCACTCAAGTCTAAAGTCCTAAACTTTGAGTTTTGAGTCCTAAACAATTCACAATTCGCTCAAATGTAATGCCATTTTAACAACAGAATGAGCAAAACAAACGTATCTTTGGTATCATTTTTTCCAGCTGGTGCTCAGTAAAGTAACGTTAGTTCTTCATGGTTCTCTCCTGCAACTGGATTGGATGCACTTACTCCTGTTTGAGTTAAAAACTACAGTAAAAGTAAATTTTAAAACAGCCGTAGAGGTGTAAACAGAGTAGGGAAGTGTGTGAAATATAGAATGACACCACATTTATGTTTATGGGCCATCTTAGGTACTGTAGCTCACAAGATACAAACAGTAACATGCTGTAAATTAATATTTAAAAAAGATCACATTCCAACATCAGTCTTAGCAAGAGTCAGAGTGTCTCTCCTGAATGAAAATGTACTTTATCACCTTTATGAATTAGCTTTAGGTAGTGCTGATGATTTTACACAAAAAACCCTACAAAAATATGATTACATCTGAGAGCAGAATGGAAGGAATTAAATGAGCATTTATTTTATAGGGCAGTGCCACGGAGAAAGACAAGACGTTGTACTTTGGGAAAAAACATGAAATATATAACAGCTGCAAATAAATAAGAGACATCGCTCATACTTTGATTTAAAATATAAAGAGAGAACAGATAAAACAGTAATCTTTCACAAAGTCAAAGAACAGACATTCAGTCATTTTGGACCAAGTTTTTTTTTCTTGTAAGGTTCCAACTTTCCATTTAGTGCCATTAGAGTCATTGATTTGTAAATTCTCAGTAACTTACTCAACAATGATACCAATTTCCCTGTTGAATAAAAACAGGTGTCATGACAAAGTGAGATGTCGACAGTTCTGCTTGTAGGGCTGCTACAGTTCGCTGTTATTGCTCCTACGGTTCCCCTAGTTCTCCCTCCATGGTCCGGACCAGCACATACAGCTCAGCGAGCCCGACTACAGACGCAGCGATCACAGCTGATATTACCCGCTGGAAAACAAGTGACAGACACAAAGTTAGGGAACCTCTAGCAGGAGACAGCTTAAAGAAGGAGACGGCGTTCAGTGTAACCCAATGTACAGGAAGGTCAGGTACAGCCTCCAGTATCACCATGAACACAGTTTCCAGCACAACTGAATATAATACGTTTAATAAAGGGAGGAGTAGTTTCACTGCATGTAGCTGGGTGTGGCAGCTTTAATCTACGTGAAAATGTTCTCTTACCGCTGCAGTGTCAGTGAACAGGTACTGACTTCCCATATACGAACAGGCAAAAGTAGCGATCACTGTGACCAGGAAGTTGAATATGGTCACCGCCACTGCTTTGACTGATCGCACTGGAGAAAGAGAGGGGAAAACCAGTTTAGGAGGAGTTCATTTTCAATGCCGAATGCTTGAATTGTGATGATAAAATGAGCTCTGAAGTTGTAACAAGATATTAAACAGTACATGTGTACCAACCTTGCAGTCCAAAATCTGCTAATGTTCCATTGCGGTTGAGTTCCTGAAGACAAAGAAAGATGTTTATTATGTAGTAAAATATGTGCACATCTTTACTGTGCCTAGTAAGTTCAAGTGTCTGCCAGAAAAAAATGTTTTCTTCACTTCTGTAAAAACGCTGCAGTAAGTCTCACACCATGATTAATATATGATATATTATATTTCTATAATACGGCCCCCTAACGTGAAATCACATCTTGACCTTGATGTTTTTAATATCACATATATGAAAATGTACCTGAGTGTTGACATTACGTGTGATTCTGTTGTATTCCTCGTTGGCTAGTTTGGCTTTGATCTTCTCGAGACGTGCCACTAGCTCAGGGTTCTGAAGGAAGAGGGGAAGGGACACTTTAATGTCAGTTGTTTTGCAGCACATGTTTAACCTTCAGGAACTGAAGTTAACACTGACACTGGTTTTATATTTAGCTCTTTGTACATCCCTTGGAAAGGAGAATAATAATACTGCACTCAAGAGTTTTTAATCACCTCAAAGCTTAAGTGAATGTTATTTTAAGAAGGTATGCAGCTTGTCTCTTGTCAAACGTCCATGTTTCACTTACCCTGGGAGGCTTCACAACCTCAGGCAGGTGCAGCGGGCTATCCTCCAACAACTCATGCAGGTAGAAAGGATGCCCTGGAGCCAACAGAAAGTTTTACATAATATATTAACTTTAGACTTTACTGGCATGATGAACTGTTTTATTGCAGAACATCACATCAGAACTCACAGTATGTTGATGTAATATTGATATCAATATTAAATAATATGATATACTCTAAGCTTTAAAGGACTAGTGCATAGGATTTGTCGGAGTGAAGTTGCAGATTGCAACCAACTGAATACTGCTCGCTCTCTGTATCTGATGACCTGGGAATGAGAACGGGCTGTAAAGTGTGTAGGAGAAACTATGGTGGCAGTGAAACACCGGCCCTATCTACAGCCAGTGTTTGGATTGTCCATTCTGGGCTACTGTAGAAGGATGATGGTTGAATATGGAACCATTGAAGGTGACCTGCGTCTGTAGATACAAACAGCTCATTCTGAGGTAACGAAATCACAATGATTCCTATATTCAGGTGATTATAACATACCTAATATTATATTTAATTTCTGCCAATAGATTCTCCTAAACGTTTTTATTATAACATGTTGTTATAATAAGAAAAGACCCAAACCCCTTGCTTTGTAGAGAGTGATCCTCACGTTACCAAACACACTGTATATACACTGGGATATTACCTTTGTCCTGGAGGTGGTTCTTGAGTGTTCTCGCTGTACTGAAGGACAGGGTTGTTGGTTCCGGTTTCTCAAGAACCTCCACCAGTTCTTCTCTCAATCGCTGGGGGAGAGATGAGTCTGTCTTTTCTAATAACTCAGTCACCTTATTTCTGAATGTATCCCCGACGACAAACGCCGAAGCCATGGTGCCACTCCAGCTGACTGACTGGGAGGTTTGCCTTTATGGGACGCAGCCACCCAGATAAACCTTTTTAAAGCGCGTTTCCTGTGAAATAAAAGCTACCACTGTACATATGCTTTCAAGAAACTATTTCAAACTATTTTTAGTATTATTATACATTAAAGTTTGGCGTTTGACGGCTAGTGAACGCTATTGGTAAATATGTACACCCAAGTAAGCAGCCATGTTGTTTGCCTTGTGACACGATGACGTATCACTCACATGACCCACTGTGGGAGAATTTATTTTAAATCGCGAATTTTTGAAAATTGGCAAATCTCATTAATACACTTTAAAAACGGTTAATGTTAATAAGAAGTTGACAAAAATATTTAATTTTATAGTCAACTCAAATGTTGCTCGCTACAGTACACGTGAGCTTCTTTGGTGCCTTCACGGGCTCCTCAAAAGCTCGTAAAGCCGAGTGTCTCTGATCGTGTCAGTGCGGTAAAGCCTTCTGGTGAGAATCAAAACTACAATTTTTTTACAAAAGTAGGTTTTGGAGGCTGTTGACGTCGGCGTGGCACATCAGTACTAAATTATCTTCGATTGTACATGTAATATAATCATTTTAACCTTTAGGATCAAGTTGTTATCTAATCTCTAAATTATAATTAATCACATCTGACTTTTTCACAACATTAAGATAGTTTTTTGATTAAAAAAACAGCCCACTTCCAGATAATAATAAAAGCAATCACAACTAGCATTTACAGACACTATGACTGAGAATTCGCGTCTATTTTAAAAGAAAAAAAGAACAAAGGAAAGCGTGTCTATCGTATAGTAATCCTTCAGTTCTCGTAAATACGACTCTTCGGTCGTTCCTGAAGGCAGCATCGGTGAGTTAACCCTGCTGTTATATATGTGTGTGTGTGTGTGTGTGTGTGTGTGTGTGTGTGTGTGTGTGTGATGTATGTGTGTGTAAGCGTGCCAGGGCTGGAAAGATGGCGGCTTGTGCGTTGCGCCGAGGTCTGTTGAGCACCGTCAGTAAATACAACAACAAACACACACACAGGATACTGAGTGTGGTCGACAGTAGCGTCGGGTTCGAGGTGAACAGACCGCGGTTACAGTGTCGAGCCTGCGGGCTGCCCGGCGCGGTTCAGCCGAGGAGGTTCATGTCGTCACGGTAAGAGACGCAGCCAGTGTCCTCCCTGTCAATGCTAACATGCTAAGGTATTTAGCTAAGTAGGAGCTGTTCGTGGCACCGTAAAGAGACTGGCCTCGCTTATGTCGAGTGGACAGATGGCCTGAGACGGTGCCTGCTCTATGAGTATGGTGTGTGGACATGAGCGGACATGTAGCAGCAGAACATTTTAAAAATAAAGTTGCCCTCTGCTGTTCACTAGCTAGCACGGTAACTAGCCAGCATGCGTTGAGCAACACCTGGCACGGTCTGATCGGACTGCCTCCAACCTGCTGACATGTTGAATCACGCAGTTAGTCAGATTGAACATCCGCTGTGGAACATTGTTCTTACTTCAGGATTAGGATTTAAGAATCTGGATCTCTTCTGGTTCACATAGCCCTCATGCTGTTTGACTTTAGCCCTTTGTGGTCTGATAAAAGCCCAGTTATTGTACTTTAAAGGTCCAGTGTGGAACATTTAGGACGATCTATTGGAAGAAATTAAATTAATATTCATAGGTGTGTTTGCATTAGTGTATAATCACCTGAAAATAAGAAATGTTGTATTTCTGTTACCTTGGAAGGAGCCGTGTTTGTCTACAGAGGGAGCGGGTCTTCTTCTGTGAAGGCCGCCATGTTGAGCCGCCATGTTGGTGCTGATTATCTGGTATTTTGAGATAAACCAATAAACAAAAAATATAGAGGCAGATCTGCAGACAGCCTTGTCAGTGTGGCTAATTTACATGATCACACACTGATCATTTTGTGTGTCAAAGCCAAATTTATTTTGAAACGCGGTTTGTATTTATTTGCTGCCACTTGTGTATCAACTGATCTCTCAGTTAATATTAAAATAAATTAATTGACAGTGTTAAACAACACTGTCACTGATGTTTCTGTGACATGACTCCATGACCATTCATAGGGTTAACTGGAATGTCTGATTTTGTTAAAGCTGCAATAAGGAGATTTTTTTAGATTAGTAACATATGTTAATATATAACATATGTAACCCATTGCTATTTGGGTTCATTGTATTGTACGCATATAACCATAACCATAGTAAATCAAAGGCAGCATGCTAGCTACCATCATATGTTAAGCTAAAGGTCAATGGTTTGGGCTACTGCTTATGGTGCTATCCATTTGTCTCGTAAATCCCCCGCCCGAGTTGCTCTGACGCGAGAACGTGACGTAATTCCCGGCCTTGTACCACTTATGGCGTTCCATTTGTCTTTGGGCATTACGAGTCAGAAAGAACATGGACGCCACCAGTGCAGCAGTTGTGTTGTTATTGTTTGTGGATCATCTAAACAAGCTCAATGTGAAATAATGTTTTTCTACAGAAACACTAACATTTCAAGTAATTCTGTTATTGCAAGTTTTACATTTCAATAATATTTTGCCATTTTCGCCTATTTCAGTTTCAACAAGTGCTGTGGCGTTTTTCTCGAGCCACCAGGGGCCGTGGCAGGCTAGTGTTACTGTTAGCTACATTAGCCTATTTAGAAAACCAGCTCGAAAACAAAACTTTACATTGTATTGCACGTACAGCAACACCGTGCAATGCATAAATTGGTGACCGGACTAGAGCAGCAATGTAAACAAGTGTGTAGGAGCATTTAAAATCGACATTAAAACGACCAACATAGTACAAATACAAAGAGAATACATTTCAATATTGTATGAATTACCCAACTTTTCCAGTTAAATCTCCTAAATTCCCATTAATTTCCAATAATTCCCATGAAAATGGCCAAATTGGAATGTTTCCAAAATTCCCCAGCTTATCTTTCCATGGAAAGATAACCCTACTTCTACTCATCAATCAACAACTCTTTCTGAGCTCTGATTGGTTGTTTTCGTTCAGGCCCGGTGGATTCTTGTAAATACCATTATTAGCACTGGAAGGAGCCAGAGGAACCCGATTTATTCTGTGGGCCAGTGCGGAGTGAAACCAGTTATGTCTTTAGCTGCCTTAATCTGAGCCAAATCAGGTGAGATCCTGACAGGAAGAGAGCGGCAGAGTGTACTTCAGAAATATAGCCAGTAGCCAGTGTGAGAGAAAGTTGTGGTGGGTGTACAGGTGGGCGAGTGCCCCCTCAGTGGTTGGAATAGCAGCAGTGATTCAGCAGCACCAGCTTGTGTCTCTCACTTTTTTAGTTTATGTAACTTTTTTTTTTATTGCGTAATCCTGTCTCCCGTCTTATTGGCAGCCTTTCCCCTGACATGATGACAGCTCAGTGGCGCAATGACCTGCCCCCTCTCGTACAGAAGGAAAAGGCTGATGTGAAATGGATAGTTGTTCCTGTGCTTATTGGCAGGACGAGCTGTTGACCAGGGTAGCTGTTGGCCAAGGCTGGTTCCAGGGTTTGCAGTGTGTAGGCTATTTTTAGATCTGATTATCTCTGGCCACACAGTGTATTGACATTTCTCAGATTGTTGCAGTGGTAGAAATGGAGAACGAGAGCCCATCTTAAAATGTGTTGAAGAGCTGGTCAGGCCATGTGCTCGCATTCCTGGGGTTTTCGCATTCTTCATTGAGCTCTACAGTATGTTGTGTTTTCTGTGAAACCATTAGGAAATAAGGACAGTTTTATTTAATCAATTAAATAAATGTACAGATGTGAAAAGAAGGGTGCCTAATAGTCATCAAATAATGTGAGCTAATGCAATATCTCTTATATTTTCTATCTACTGGGTTTGAACATTACACGTCATTAACAGTTGCAGTAAATGCCCCTTTAGCCGACACAAGCTGTTATATCAACATGCTCTCAGTGGATCACAAGGCTTAGATTAATAGACTGAAATTCAGAAAACATGAACACAGTTTTGAAGGAAACCCCTAACCCTAACCCACTCATGGATGGCTTTGGGCCTCTTACACTCAATATAAAGAGCATGATACATTATAATGTGTACTTTATTCAAAATTACACACATGGATAGTGGTTGTTGTATAATTAGTTATGCTGAGTGAGCTGTTGCAGATAGTGGACGTGACCGACTTGAATGAAAGTGCACCTACTTACAAAGTTGTCATTTTGATTTATACCTTCTTATATTGCAGTCATTTTGCTGCATTCATCAGATTTAGTTAAATCAGACAACCTCATTTCTCAACACCAGTGCTGTAGAAATGATACACAGCACCACCTCAGTGAAGCACACACACATTCTTGACAGTAGATCTAATGCTGCATTCAGGAAATGTTGGAAGCTTTTTGTTTTCACACGAAACACGCCTGATCTCTCAGCCCCAGAGATATTTCACAGCAGTTATCTGCCATCTTACCCACAATGTTCCTTTTTAATATTTTACAGTCCTCTGTACACAGGGTTATATAATCTTACATTTATCACATCTATCACTCTTGGCTCTGATAAATTTTAATTTTTTCATTCATTCATTTTGTACAGTTTTCAGACTTTTTATAGATAAATAAAAATAATAATTAGTTGCTTTTTACTATGGCTAAATGTCATTGCTGTAATGACCGAATGTTTCCCCCGGTTTTCTGTCCAAACAGGAGGTTAAAGTAATCACCCAGCAGCTGCTAAGAGCTGACTTCCAGCTTTCAGTGCATTGTAGCATTATAGGTAATTTCCCCAAAATCTTAGGCTCATAGCATTTAAATGTCAGGCTTCTGTTTTGTAAAGGACAGCTGAAATCACATTTAATCATTGCAGTCCCCTTTGCAGTCTACAATAATGTTCAAAGGACAGGACATGTTTATTTATGTGAGTAAGATAAAAGGAGACTTCAGGAGGAAACCTACTGTGGGCTGTTGTGTTGTGTATGTGTGTTGTGAATGCTGACGTTACGGCTTTATAAAAGGTGTGATTGGCTGTATGGCAATAAGGTCTGCAGTTGGGATTTCATGGGAAAATTTCATGTTACCTGCTCAAAATAATTGTGATTCACGATATAATGGCAACAATCATCACAATATACTTATAATTGTTCAAATGCCACGAAAACATACTAGAATGACTTTACCGTTTTTTTTTAAGAAACATTACTGCATCGCAGACAGGACACCTAATGTCCCTGTTCCTGTTCCTGTATTCAGCCT